GCAACGAGGACGGCAACGAGGACGGCAACGAGGACGGCAACGAGGACGGCAACGAGGACGTGGAAAAACAAGAGATCTAATTGGCAGAACAATAGCTCAGCACGTGCATTTTGAAACTTTGTACATTTCTTAGCCGTCCTATGCAAAACAACAACTTGAAAAAGGCAAAATTTGCGTTGTCTGCGAACCAAAACCGCGACGGCAAATTATTTTAATTTCCATTTGGAACTCAACGGCTACTTTATACCGCATGCTGAAGTTGAGCTGTGGCGCTGTATGAGACAATAAGCTCCTGTAGCCATTTTTGAAATTCTAACTAAGAGTAGAAATTAATTTTTTAATCGAAGTCTTCGTTGGAGTCGCCGTCGTGGTTTCTTTAGGTCCCTAATCTGTTTGCGACGGCTGATGTCCCTCCGTACGCGTTTTCCCCTGTAAACCTTTTTCCCCCCTTGTGGCAAAATAAGGTAAAACTTTTTCGAACATTTATCATTTGGAAGAGAAGCAATTCCAGACTGTTTACCCTTGCTGACGAGAACTTTCCATTTTCATGGTGAAATCTCACTTATCACACAATAAAAGAAAGAACAAAATGTTGGAATTTTTTTCACGGTTGGTATTAATGTACTGCACAAGCTGGTTTGCAATTCCACATATATTACAGTTCGTAAAAGTATTTAACGACACTAAAAAATTACTCTAGAACGAAGGTCCTATGAAGTACATCATGATTTTATATATTTGTTCTTCATTTCTATTCTTATCATTCTTAAATTGAAAATCCAAAGGAGCTCTATTACCTTTAGTTACTTGATAATAATAATAATAATAATACTTTATTTACCCACGTATCACCTAAGAGCTAATAGTTAGATTAAGCACCGCGAAAACGGCGAACGCTGAACGTCGGCTAACCGTTTGTCGTTTGCAGTTCCGTTCGCGATGTTCGTCTGTTTAAGCTTCCCGACGACACGGTAGAACAAATGGTCTCGGTCGCCATTCACTGCGACTAGAAATAATGGACACAAAGAAGTAATGTATTTTCCGCTTGAATTTAAACTCTATTAGCTTTACAAGCAGTTCATATAGAAGTAAGATGATAAACGAGGCTTAGCTATGAAAGCAAGTTATCAAAATGTAGAAATAGTCGGTAAAAATGGGCTGCAAATACTCACGTTTTCGCGTTCCCTACAAACGGGATAAATTGCCTCCTCGTGTAGAAACAGCGGCCGGCAAACGGCAAACGCGGGAAATGTCAGGTCACGTGACCGTCTCTGTCGTTCGCGGGGAAAAAAAAAGGTGGTGCTTAATCTCTCTAATAGCTCGTTTAAAACGTGAACGCGAAACTAATTATAAATAATGAACTAATAAGAACTAATATTAAATGATAAAAATTTGAAAAGCTATATCTTATCTAATTTATATGTGCTATATAATTATTAAGCGAAAGTGCGTTAAAAATCGAGTTAAAGCCTCGCCATAAACGAATGCAACGCGCGCCTTAAAGCGGCA